AGCTTTCTTGTTCGGGTTTGTTGTCCTCTACAGTTCAAGAGGGAGAGAGAATATCAAAGCTTCAGAGAAAAATCGAAGCAAGAAAACTTTGAAAAGCTCTGGAAATGGAGTGTGCAGATCAAATTTTGCTGGAAATACTGATGTGATCATCGTAGGAGCTGGTGTTGCTGGTTCAGCTCTTGCTTATGCTCTCGCAAAGGTAATAACCTCTTTCACAATGGTAAAACAGTTAACTCTAAGTGCCTGATCTTGCTTATAATTCAAAGACCAAAACCAAGTAAGCAGAGCTATTGTTGTTCTGTGTGTGCTAAGCAACAGCAACCTTGTCTTCTCCTACAACTGCAGGATGGATGGCGCGTGCAAGTTATTGAAAGAGACTTGACTGAGCCCGACAGAATTGTTGGTGAGCTCCTGCATGCTGGGGGTTGCATTAAATTGGCCGAGTTAGGTCTCGAAGGTGAAGAATTACTAGCTGTAGAAATTTTGTTGAACATACTTTCCGTTAATTAATTAACAACTACTTTATTTATGTCCAACATTTTGTGTGGTAGCAGACTGTCTAGATGGGATTGATTCTCAGATAGTCCTCAGTTTCGCTGCTGTTCACAAAGATGGAAGAAGAACTGCAATTTCATATCCCTCCAATGCGTGTGGCAGAAGCTTTCACCATGGCCGCTTCATCCAAAAACTACGTGAAAAAGCTGCATCTCTTCCCAAGTATTCGTCCTTTCCCCTGCAACCTATAGGAACAGAGTAGCCTCCGAGTATTGAGTTCAATATAACCAACCATGGACTGAATATACGTTTGTCAGTATCATTTCATGATGTGAACATTTTTCTTTCTCAGATTTCTTTGATCTTTGTGCAGTGTTAAACTCGATCAAGGAACTGTAACATCTCTTGTCGAAGAAAATGGCAGTATCAAAGGTGTGCTATACAAAACAAAGGCAGGCCAGGAGTTAGCAGCTTCAGCTTCACTCACAATAGTATGTGATAGTTGTTTTTCAAATTTACGACGCAATCTCTGCAATCCAAAGGTGAAAATCTTGCATTATGAGTAAATTTACATGTAATTAATGTTGGGGATTTTGTTTCCCCTTGTACAGACACCCTTGTACAAACAGGTGATATTATAATAGTTGTACTTTAAAGGCTAATCATATTGGCATATAATATTTATCACAGTTGAACAAATCGCCTATATCTACCAAAAAAAACTAATATTATTAGAGATAAGAAAAAAAAAAAACATAAACATATGAAGAAAAAAGATCAATTCTATTCTTATTGTTCTCACACATACTTTGATGCATAAGACAATAAGGCTGTTGTTTTTGACAATGACTCTTTTTTATCTCTCACACATACTTTGTTGCACAAGGTAGTAGGATTGCTGTTCTTGGCAGCTATTTTTCTTTTTCTCTCACATGTTTCTCTCATACTCTCTAACTCTCTGTCTTCTCTTTTGTTCTCATTCTCTTTCTAACTTGTACCTCTATTTATAAACATGAATTGTAATACAATTTAGTCATAAATTATGACACTAATTGTGTCAGTACATGAGTTCCACTATTTTGTTAATAGATAGTGCAACTTGTTTGATAATACACACATATTATTGTAGTCTTTTGACAATGATATCCCTTTTTTTAAGATAACCTGTAAATGTTATTATCCATTAATGATAACATAAAAGAAAGTATTATAATTTTTTATTTTGTTAATAAGGACATAGACCGATAGATATACTTTCTAGGTGAATCTCTAATAATAATTTTATATTACTCTCTAAAATACTTTTATAGAAATAAAAAAATTTTAAATTTTAAATTTTAAATTTGTATGGGATCATGTTTACGAGTAAATTTACATGTAATTAATGTTGGGGGTTTTGTTTCCCCTTGTAGAGACCGGTGATATTATAATAGTTGTAATTTGAAGGTTAAGCATATTGGCATATAATATTTAGTATAGTTCAATAAATTCTTTATATCTATAGAAGAAGAGTTAATATTATTAAAAATAAAAAAAAAATAACATAAACATACAAAGGAGGATCATTTTACTTAAACTCTATTCTCATTGCTCTCATACATACTTTGCTACATAAGACAGTAAGGCTTCTGTCCTTGGCAGCTACTCCTCTTTTTCTCCACACATACTTTGCTGCACAAGGCAGCAAGGCTGCTACTCTTGGCAACTACTACTCCTTTTCTTTCACGTGTTTCTCTCATACTTTTTAACTCTTTATCTTCTCTTTTATTCTCACTCTCTCTCTAACTTGTACCTTTATTTATAGGCATAAATTGTAAGACAACTTAGCCATAAATTATGACATTGATGGTGGCAGTATATAAGTTGCACTATTTTGTTAATAGATAGTGTAACTTGTTTGATAATACATATCTACTATTGTAGTCTTTTAATAATATCTCTTTTTTTTAGGGTAACCTGTAAATGTTATTATCCATTAATGATAACATCCCCACAGTTAATGAGAGAAGGTATTATAATTTTTTATTTTGTTGATAAGGATATAGACTGATAGATATACCTTTTAGGTGAATCTCTAATAATAATTTTATATTACTCTTTAAAATATTTTTATTGAAACTTTTTAAATTTAAAATTTGTACGGGATCATGTTTAATTTCAGTTAATTATTATTAATATAATTAGTTAAAATGAGAGAAACTCTAATATTATATTAAAAAACTAATTTAACCTAAAATTAGTTTAATATTACTATCTAACACTTGGTCGTTACATTTCTTGTAGATTGAAGTCCCATCTTACTTTGTTGGTTTGGTCCTGGAGAATTATAATCTTCCCTCTGCAAATCGTGCGTACTTTATTTTGAAGGATTCAATTGTCGTAACTTATCCTATTAGCAGCAATGAAATTCGTTGTTTCGTTGATGTACCTGGCTCGAAACAACCACCTATTTCCAATGGCGAAATGGCAAGCTACTTGAAAACAGTGGTGGCACCTCAAGTATGTATAGTTGCTTGACATAATGTTAATTAAAGTTTATTCTGATTAATTTATAGAGCATGCATGCTAGCGAATTTATTGTTAATAATATCAGAAAGCAAAATGCAAAATGTCTTATAATGCCAGTCTAAGGCGACATTTTAGCAACTTTGCTAGTTCTCTTTATTAAATATAAATGTTGTTTGAACTAATGCAGAGATTTGCACATTTCAGATGCCACCTGAGCTATACAATGCTTTCATGTGTGCAATTGATAAGGGCAACATAAGAACAATGCCAAACAGAATCATGCCTGCGTCTCCCTCTCCAACCCCTGGTGCATTTATGATAGGGGATTCATTAAATATGCCCCATGCTGTAACTGGAGGAGGAATGACTGTGGGACTTTCTGATGTTGTTCTACTGCGAGATCTTCTTAGGCCGCTCAATGATCTTAGCAATGCAGCTGCCATTTGCAAATATCTTGAATCCTTTTACAATTTGCGTAAGGTATCAGCACTTGCACGCATATGCTTATCTAATATTTCTTCGGCCAATCTTTCTCACAACATTTATTGAATAGGAATTGCTTAAAGAAACACAAAATAAACTATTTCTTTGCGGTTTGTAGATACTAATAACTTGCTTGAATTACTCGATTAATATTGGTTGCAGCCCACGGCATTTGCAATGAACGCATTGGCAAGCACCCTACACACAGTATTCTCTTCATCGGATCAGGATCCATCAAGGATGGAAATGAAAGAAGCATTCTTCAATTATTTGAGCCTTGGAGGCGTGTTCTCAGAAGGTCTGATGGCTCTTCTGTCTGGTCTCAACCCTGACCCGTTGAGCTTGGTTTTCCACTGCTTTGCCATGCTTGCCTATGCTGTTGGCCGCTTATTGCTTCCATTTCCTACACCAAAACGCATGTGTATTGCGGCAAAACTAATTTTGGTCTGTATCTCCAGCTTTCATTATTCTTTACTATCAGAAACTTATTTGTTTGAACTATTATTCTCACCATGGGTTTCCTAGACAAACTTAAATTTTTATTTTTATTTTTGTCAATTTTCAGGCTGGATCAGGCATCATCTTCCCTATACTAAAGGCAGAAGGAATTAGAGCAACATTCTTCCCGGCAACAGTGCTAGCTTACTACAGAACTCCTCCTGTCCAATCCACTGATGATAGAGAAACAGGGAAATAGTTGTTTATTTTATTGGTAAAGGAACCGCTTCTTATCGGCTGAATTTATAAAGAAAGAGGTACAACATGAACAAACATGAAACAATCCTCATGATGTACCACATGAAACGAATAAAATGTATCTCCATTGTAATTTGAGTTATCCAAAATAATAATAATAAAAATAATATATATAAATGTTGTTTTTAATGATCATGTATCCATTTAGTTAAATAACGTTGAGAAAGGGTTTTGATAGTTATTGCACACAAACGTGAAAGAGCTTTGTCTTCACGATTTGACTCCAGAAATAGTCATCCAATTCCAGATGAAATATATATTGATAAAAATAATAAATAAACAGAGCAATCAATAAACTAAAAGAAGAAGAAGCTATAAGGTTTCGAAGATAAAAATAAAAATATGGAGTGTGAAGGAATCGAGAAAACCTTATATCTGAAATTGCCAGAAATGGATGAGGTGTTCCTCTCTAAACGTTTCACTTGTCTTCATCTTCAGTTTCCAACTTCCTCAAGTAGGCTACTTCTTTTCCTTTAACTGTTACTGGAGCTGCACGCCAAACACCAAATCCATCGAGACCCAATTGCTGTAGCACGAGGACTTGTAGATGAGGGAGTTTAGGCAATATCCCAGTAGGAAACATCTTCTGACCGCATGCATTGAGTCCAAGATACCCGAGGTTGGATATGTTGATAATAGGTATATAAAGCCATAACTTCAACAGGATAGACATTCCATGGCTTGAGGAATCATTTCAAGTGCAGTACCATTGACATCCAACCTCTTTAGTGCCGTAAGCTTTTTTAACGAGGGTACATGTCTTAACTTATCACAAGCAATGAGCAATGAGAAACAATGCGGTGACTCACCAAATTGAAGACAAAATTAGGCAAATTCTCAATATCTGTGTCAGATAGATCGAGGAACTTGAGCCCATGCAATTTTTTGAAAAATGAATCGGCAATAAATTTCTAGTTTTTATTATTGCATGACAATAGAGTTGAAAGACGGGGACACCTTGGTGAATAGCTCGAAGGAATTTTTTCAATTTGGTTATGTATCAGTGAAACTCTCACAAGATTCTCTGTCCACTCCTCTGAATCCGGCAGTTCATCGTGCACAGCTACTATCACCATATCTTGTAGCACTGTCCAATAAGGAGACATTTTCAAGTCTATTAAGCATAGAATGGCCTTTGTAAACTTCTGCCACCCTACTCTGCCGTTTTATCACTCCCTCATCAATCAAATAAGCCATCAAATCCTCTGTAGGGAATACATCCTCTTCCGTATCATCTTGCCTAACTCTTGATTGCCTCATGTCCTCTAAAGCATTCCTCCACTTGTTTATGTCATCCACCCCCTTCATGGCTCCAGCCATTGTTATAATTCCTAGCGGCAAACCATCACACTCCTTTGTGATAGATTTTGCAATTTGTTCCACTTCTGGACGAAGTGTTATGTCATATCCGAGGCTCTTAATAAACAAGTTCTAAGCCTTTTCCTCTGAAATAAGCGGTATCCATATGTTGACAAATCTTTTTTGATCGAGAATAAGTTTGCATCCTTTAACTTCGACAGGAACTCCCAGCTTATGTGACTCGATAGTATTCCACAAATCATCTAAAATCAAAACCCATTTCTGTTTCTTCATTAATTCTTTTCTCAATTCAACTGCTCTGTAAAAGTTAATGTGCAAAACAATTGGAGCAATTAACTGTAATGTTAAAATTTTGGAAAGCTATTTGAGTCAACACCGAGCCCACCAACATCACCCCAACCGAACGGAAAAATGCTCATAACCATTTTGGAATATTTTATAGTTACTTTAATGATAAATCATACAGGTCTTTTTTTTTTTGGATTTTCATCTTGGAGATACTTAATAAGTTGAAAATATAACATTAATTAAACTTCAAGTTATAATTATTTTGGAAAAAATTTTCTTTAAAATATTTTTTTTAATCATTTGATGTAACGATATTTTTTTAAAAATAAAAATAAATTATTTTAATATATTTTCTAATAAAAAAACACAGAACATGTGTCTTCATTTATAGCGAATTAATCAATCCTTTTAGTTTTTTTTATGTTGTTTATAAAAATTAAAAAAGCTTAAAAATATAAATAAAAAAATCATAAAAAATATAAAAAATTAAAATTAATTTTTATATCTCCAAATAAAAGATGACATAAGAAAAATAAATAATGATATGAAATTTTATTTTCAAAATTGCAAGGCATGTAATTGATTATCAGGTTTTTTTTTTTTAAGTATCTTCGTTCTCTGTTTTTTAATTAATCTGTATTATATATTTTTTAAAACTAATTTATTGTTAGTTAATGATATAACATGATTTGTAATGATGAATAGATATATTATTTTATTACGTTACTTTAATGATAAACTTTGGAAAGCAATTAACTGTACTGTTAAAACTTTGGAAAGCAACTAAATAAGACTAAAAGCTATTTGAGGCAACACCAAACCCACCAACATCACCTCCAACACAATGGAAAATGGAAAAATGCTCATAACTATTTTGGAAAAAATAAAATTTAAATTAATTTTTTTGTGTGCTTTTAAATTAATTTAATGTGAAAACAAATTTTTAAAATTAAAAAATATTATTTTAATATATTTTCAAATAAAAAATATTTTACAACGCAATTTTCACCCCTCTTAAACAAATCCTTAGTATAATTCACAGGAACATGTGTCTACATATATAGGATTAACCAATCTTTTTAGTTTTTTTATATTGTTCATGTTTTCGTATATTGTTCATAAAGACCGAAAAAGCTTAAAAATAAAATTTTAAAAATCATAAGGAAAATAAAAAAAATAGAATGAATTTTTACCCCTTCAAATAAGACAACATAACATGAGAAAAATAGATAAAGGTCTGGAATTTTATTCTAAATATATCCTTGTAAAAATTTCAAAATTTCAATATTATCATTCTATTTTTAAAGTGTCTTCTCTCTCTCTTTTCTTTTTAATATGTATTATATATTTTTAAAAAATAATTAATTACTAGTTGATGATATAAGATGATTTGTACTAGTGAATAGATCTATTATTTTATCAGGTTAATAAATCATTATAGTATTTGGTTTTTTGGGGATTTTCATCTTGGAGATACTCAATAGGATGAAGATATAATATTAATTAAACTTAAAATTATAATTATTTATCTATCAGAGTTATATATATATATATATATATATATATATATATATATGATAGTTCAATAGTCTTAAAGGAAAATGAAATATATTAAAAAATGAAAAATATTATTTATGTTAATTATAAACACACGATATAAACAAGAAATATTTCTTACTAATAAACGCTTAACGAGTCCAAACAACCAGAAATTAACTTGACATAAAAGATGATGCTTACCCTTTATTCTATAATATTATATTATATTATATTATATTATATTAAGGGCCAAAATTTTATGAAGGGACGAAGGACATCCTTTGTATTAGGATGCTTCCACTCCACTACTGTCTCCCACCATTCTTCTGGACTTGAATAGATATTTTTAAGAGAAGGGGGAGGAGATGGCTGGCCATTTTCAAGCAACGGAATACAAATTGGCATCCTCTTCAGCTTCTCACAATACATTACAGTAATATCTTCAAGAGAATTGCAAATCAGTTTTGCACTCCAAATGCTTTTCAATTCTGGTAAATATCTCAGTCTCAGAGCTCTTAACTTTGGGAGTTTCAACTCCGCGATGGAATTGCAGGCGTTGCTTTCTTCATCTGTTGTTCCTATTATCTCCTCCATTTTCTCACAATCACTAACATCAATCATTTCCAGGTTTACGAGGTTTGGCAACAACAAAAGTGGGAACAGCTTCTTCATACTCTTACAATCACGGCAATAAAACTCTTTAAGACCAGAAAAGACACCATTATACGATGGTAATGGTGGTGGAGCATTGCAGAACCAAGAAGATGAAAACAAGCTCTCCATGTTATTGCAACCCCGAATGCTGATCTCCTCCAGTTCAGTTGCCTTCTCTAATGACAAAACATCACATAAACTTTTTGCATCGATACATTGACAAACCAGTCCTTGAATGCCATTTAAGAACCTGACCTGAAAATCTCTATCTCCGTTGATACACACATTACTCAACCCAACTGTTTTACTTGGAAAAAAATCAATGTATTCCCAAAAATCTTCATCCACCATTCCTATTGAAATTTTGTATGTGCTTAATGATAGGATCCCATCCCGAGATCTGAGATGATCCACGAAGTCAGAGACACCTTTGAAATGGCATTCCAAAGTTTCCAAATTTCTTAAGGATCCTACTTCCTTTCCTTCAACTGTTATTGGAGCATAAAAATCCTTAAAAAACTCTTATAGTACAAAGACTTGCAGGTGAGAGAGGTTTGGTAATATCCCACTAGGAAACTCCTTTTCACCACATCCATTCATTCTAAGATACCTTAGGTTGGCTAGGCATTTCATTCCTTGAGGCATCTTTTCAAGTGTAGTGCAAGAGAGATCCAACCTTCTCAGTTCCCTGAGCTTCTTTAATGATGGAACATGTCTTAACTTCCAACAATCATTGAGCAATAATGCAGTGAGACTCACCAAATCAGAGACAGAGTCTGGCAAATTTTTAATACCTGTGCAAGACAGATCGAGGACCTTGAGCCCATGCAATAGCTTGAAAAATGAATCTGCAATAAATCCCAACCAACGATTTTGACAAAGCAATAGAGTTGATAGATAGGGACACCTAGGTGAATAGCTGGAAGGAATTGCTTTAATTTGGTTTTGCATTAGTGAGACTTTTGTGAGATTCTCTGTCCACTCCTCTGCATCTGGCAACTCTTTTAATTGTGCACCTGCTTTCACCATGACTTGAGAGTTCTCTAGCAGTATATGAATGGCCATGTCCCTAATCAAGTCATGCATCTTAAAATGTGTCATTTGAGCACTTTCTAATAGGCAGACACGTTCGAGTCTATTAAGCATCGTGTGGCCCTCATCAAATGCATCTTTCCTGCTCCTCATTCCTTTAATTATTCCCTCATCGATCAAATAACCTATCAACATCTCCCTTTCAATCTCACAATCTTCAGGAAATAATGCACAATACAAGAGACATTGTTGAAGTGCTAAATCACCTAACCGATCATAACTAAACCTCAATAACTTGAATACTTCCTTGTCTCTAAATTGAGATTCTCTCAATTTCTTCAATGCATTTCTCCACTCATGTAGGTCATCAACTCCCCTTAAGCTTCTTGCCACTGTACTAATTCCCAAAGGCAAACCAGCACATTCCCTAGCAATAGCTTTTGCAACTTCTGGTGAAAGTGCTATATCACATCCAAGTTTCTCCATGAACAAATTCCAAGCTTCTCCCTCAGAAAGTGGCTTTACTTTGATTTTGTGTTGGCAAGTCATCTGATGACAAATTGTTTCTGATCTAGTTGTCATAATCAACTTGCATCCTTTCAACCGGACAGGAATTCCCACTTTTTGAAGCTCAAAACTATTCCACAAATCATCTAAAATAAGAATCCATTTTTGTTTCTTCATTAGTTCTTCTGATAATTTGGCAGCTCTATGCAGATTATCAACCTCCCTTGAAAGGTCAAGATCAAGAAGTTTAGCAATAACATTCTGCAATCTATTAATGCTGAAATCTTGAGACACGGTCACCCACCAAACATGATCACAAATATCTGGTCTTTGTAGAAGTTCATTATGGATATGTTGCAGTATTGTTGTTTTACCAACTCCCCCCATCCCATAAACACCAATGGTTGGGACTTCATCATCTATTAACAAAGACCATATCACCTTCGTATTCTCTTCGAATGCTTGACCCACTGGCTTTGTAGAGCTAGTAGGTAATGGAACTCCTGTAGAATTGTTGTCTTTCAGACTTTTAGAAGATCTAGCTCCTGCGCCAGCCTGCACTACTGATCTTCCACTACTCTCCACATCCTCCTCCTCCTCCACTGGTTCTGTCCTCACTCTAACCATGTCCTGCTCACCATGCATAGTTACCTCATTTTTTACTGATGCAGCACAAGGTTGATCATAACATCTTTCAATGTCAAGACAAAATTGGGATGAATCTCCTCGCGGCTCCAGAAGCTGCACTTTCCCTGTTCTTGGTATACTCTCAAATGCATCATGCTGAAAAAATTCTTCACCAGCGTTTTCTATGCCATTTTCTGTTTGTAAATGCAACTGAATTCTCTCTTCTCCGGGACCTTTTTCCATGCCCCGAACTCCCACTTGTATCCTTCCAGCACACCCTGCCAAATTGCCAAGTACTGCATTGCTTTGTTCCAACGCTCGATCCACTGGTTCTGTCCTCAGTCTACTCTCAAGTGCCTCTTTGGAAACTCTATCTTCATGTGCTCTCACTCCGGTCATGCTTACTTCTTCATTTCTTGCTATTGCATGTGAAGAAATCCTCTCTTCCTCTACTCCAGGTTCTACAAGTTGAACTTCTCTTTGTACCTTTCCAATACCTCCTCCCATATTTTCAATCTTAATGTCTTGTTCTTGTGGACAAGTTGAAATTCCAGAATCATTAACATTGATTGAGCTTTCTGTGCTTTTAAGTCTTTTCTTGCCACCACAGATAGCTAGAAAGGCTGCTACTTGAACTTCTTTAGTCACCCCACAACAAATGGCAACATTATGCCCTTCCTCTCCTGATAAATGCCATTTGATCCTTGAAATGGAGGTTTTATTGGAAAATGTATGTGGACAAAACTTACACTTCATGCTACCATCAGCCATATCTTCAATATAATTCCAAAATGGATCCTTTGATCCAACCATTTCAACCTATAGAAAAAAAAAAAGTGGGTCAAAATAAAGAATAAAAATTGATGGAGGTTACACCATATCCGGATGGATGAGAAACTACTTCAGCGCTGTTACCCTTATTTTGCTATTAAAATTGATAGTTTATTGCACAATCATAAGGGGAAAAGACGACGATAATTCAGTTATACTTCTTACTTGTTGAGTATTTAAACCCCTAAGTTGACTTTGCAGCGAAGTGTCAAGGCCAGGATTTGAGGCATTTGGTCTAGCAGTTTGAATTTGCAATCCTGTGACTTGGAGGTCATCCTCGGAGTTGGAGCTTACTTTGTCGTTTCTTGCTATTGCTTGTGAAGAAATTCTCTCTTCCTCTACTCCAGGTTCTACAACCTGAACTTCTATTTGTACCCTTCCAATACCTCCTCCCATATTTTCAATCTTAATGTCTTGTTCTTGTGGACAAGTTGAAATTCTAGAATCATTAGCATTGATTGAACTTTCTGTCCTTTTAAGTCTTTTGTTGCCACCACACATAGCTAGAAAGGCTGCTTCTTGAACTTCTTTAGACACCCCACGACAAATGGCAACACCATGCCCTTCTTCTCCTGATAAATGCCATTTGATCCTTGAAATGGAAGTTTTAATGGCATATGTATGTGGACAAAACTTACACTTCATTCTACTATCATCAGCCCTTTCTTCAACATAATTCCAAAATGAATCATATCCGACTTGTTGAGTATTTAAACCCCTAATTTGACTTTGCAGGGAAGTGTCAAGGCCAGGATTTGAGGCATTTGGCCTAGTAGTTTGATTTTGCAATCCTCTGAGTTTGAGGTTATCCATCTGTGACCTGTATAAAAATGAAGTGATCATATTATAAAACCAAAAATCAATGGTGTATCTAATTATCAAAAAGGTATTAATATTGTGTTAAAACACAACAGCTAGAAGTCAATCAGTACCTAGTAGAGTTTCCAAAGTGCCGAGGCACGAAGTTCTCTTGTTGTATATCGTCTATGTTAGGAATTACAGCAGCTTGATTGCAAAAATATTAACTCCTGAATCCAAAATCATTCGCAAACAATATGAAGCATTACAAACCTCTGTTTAGTTTGCTGGGTTCATGTTCAAGCTATGATGTTTCTTTCCTGATTGAAAAAATAAACTTTTTTACAGATGATGGGAACTCCTTCCATCACCACAAGTACATGATGAATAGTACAGGAGGTGAAAAAAGAAGAGAAAGCACATATCAGAGAAGACTATATACATATGACAGATCTGAGAAAAAGATCAATTTATTTATCATGGATTACTTTAAAGATTCAAACCATAGTTAAAAACAACTATAAAAACAAAAACACCAACAAGATGAAGAAGATGAAGTGCAGATAATTAACCTGGATTCAAGATATTCTTCAAGCGCTGGTTTGCTTGAGCAGTAATCAGCCCAAAAAATAGAGAAGAGAAATCACAGATCAGAGAAGAATATAAGGTTTAGAAAAATAATAAAGTTGCAATACCGAGAGGGAAAGAAAAACAGAGAATGGTAATAATAATAATTATTATTATTAATTATTGTATTGTTTGATAGGAAGGAAGGAAGTTGCTAGGAAGGAACCCACCGCTTACCCGCGAAGCATTATATTATAAGATATTGGAAGTTAAAGTGTGGACCCCGCTAATGTTGAAACTTTGAAGAAGCTGCCCGGAAAATTTAAGTTGCTTGGAGATTTGATTAATCAAACTAATTTATTTTTATTTTTAATGTTATTATATAAAAAATATTAAAAAAATATTTTTTTCAAAACTAATAAATTTTTAAAATATATACAATCTTAAATGCAAAAAAAAATTATATCTTGATTTTATCGTAACAATCTTCATCTTTAAAGATAAATTACTAGGAAGATATGGAGTGTCGACATTGAAATAAATTAAAAGAATAAAAGGAAATATTAAATAATTTAATATTAAAGAATAAAAATTAATTTTCAATGCAGATTAATGAAAAAGGTTTAAATTCGTCAAAGAGCAGCAGATAGTCGGAATCCCTGGCACACATTTAATATTTTTATTATTTTTATTTTGTTGAACAACTCAATTTGAAGTTTATCTCCCAAAAATTCCAATTGAAAGGTTTGAAAGGTATAGATAATTAAATCAACATAAATGTAACCCTTTTTGAAAAATCATTCACCACTTTCTTTTTTTAAACACGCAAATGATTATCCCTCTTAATAAAATTTAATGACACTAAAAAATAAATTTTATAAAATGAATATACATGAGGAGCAATTTTATAAAAAAATAAATTTAAAAGATATAATTTAATTGATTAAGTTTTAAATTTATTTTTTAAACATTATTAGTTCAAATTTCATAAATTTCAGAATTATTAAAGATTTATATAATCATTAACTTTAAAACCTATAAAATTAATTTAGATATACTCAAATTAGTTTGAATATTCATATTAATCAATATATATATATATATATATTACAGGAAAAAATTAAATCAATACAAATAAATAAATGATTCAAGCATAATAAAATAATTAATCCATTTAATAGAAAAGGCGTGACTGAATACATAAATTAACTGCATAAATCCTATGATTATTTGGAGAAGAGTTAGAATAAATGGACATCTTTTGCCACATAGCAAATTAGTTTAAGTATTTTTTATTCTATATTGAATGTATAAAGAAAATTCAAATTTCCTACCCTTATAAGAGATTTTTTTGCAGGGAAGACGACAAATGCCATCTAAACAGAAAGACAGACAAAGGCTTAAAAAGTAGAACAGAAGTCCAGATCATGGGCTCAAATGGTTTCAGATGAAGATAAAATTTCTCAATATGACAGAAGCAAATTAAAGGTTCTCCCTTTGGAAACCTTGATCATATCGTATACCAGCAACGAGGAGAGACTAGTGATGATGGATCACGTTACGTAACTTTAATCATGTCGGATACCACCAACAATATTCCATCAGGTAATTGATAATTTCATTCAGATAGTTCTTGGGAAAGGTAGAATCAACTGTCACTCAACCTTTCCCGGACAAACTTCACATAAAATTCATAATGATTTTACTTTATTTTCACTCAGGAATCAACAATAATTGTAAAAACCCTAGTGGCTTATGATGCTCGCTTTTAATTCTA